GGGGACGGCCCCTGGAGGTGGGGGAAGGCAGAGGACGGCCCCTGGAGGGTGGGGAGGGCAGGGGGGAGGACGGCCCCTGGAGGGTGGGGAAGGCAGGGGGACGGCCCCTGGAGGGTGGGGAAGGCAGAGGGACGGCCCCTGGAGGGTGGGGAAGGCAGGGGGACGGCCCCTGGAGGGTGGGGAAGGCAGAGGGACGGCCCCTGGAGGGTGGGGAAGGCAGAGGACGGCCCCTGGAGGGTGGGGAAGGTAGGGTGACGGCCCCTGGAGGGTGGGGAAGGCAGAGGGACGGCCCCTGGAGGGTGGGAAGGCAGAGGGACGGCCCCAGGGAGGGACGGCCCCTGGAGGGTGGGGAAGGCAGAGGGACGGCCCCTGGAGGGTGGGGAAGGCAGAGGACGGCCCCTGGAGGGTGGGGACGGTAGAGGGACGGCCCGTGGAGGGTGGGGAAGGCAGAGGACGGCCCGTGGAGGGTGGGGAAGGCAGAGGGATGGCCCCTGGAGGGTGGGGAAGGCAGAGGACGGCCCCTGGAGGGTGGGAAGGTAGGGTGACGGCCCCCTGGAGGGTGGGGAAGGCAGAGGACGGCCCCTGGAGGGTGGGGAAGGCAGGGTGACGGCCCGTGGAGGGTGGGGAAGGCTGAGGGACGGCCCCTGGAGGGTGGGGAAGGCAGGGGGACGGCCCCTGGAGGGTGGGGGAAGGCTGAGGGACGGCCCCTGGAGGGTGGGGAAGGCAGGGGGACGGCCCCTGGAGGGTGGGGAAGGCTGAGGACGGCCCCTGGTGGGTGGGGAAGGCTGAGGGACGGCCCCTGGAGGGTGGGGAAGGTAGAGGGACGGCCCCTGGAGGGTGGGGAAGGTAGAGGACGGCCCCTGGAGGGTGGGGAAGGTAGAGGACGGCCCCTAGAGGGTGGGGACGGTAGAGGGACGGCCCCTGGAGGGTGGGGACGGTAGAGAGACGGCCCCTGGAGGGTGGGGAAGGTAGAGGACGGCCCCTGGAGGGTGGGAAGGGCAGAGGGACGGCCCCTGGGGGGTGGGGAAGGCAGAGGGACGGCCCCTGGAGGGTGGGGAAGGCAGAGGGACGGCCCCTGGAGGGTGGGGAGGGCAGAGGGACGGCCCCTGGAGGGTGGGGAAGGGCAGAGGGACGGCCCCTGGAGGGTGGGAAGGGCAGAGGGACGGCCCCTGGGGGGTGGGGAAGGCAGAGGGACGGCCCTTGGAGGGTGGGGAAGGCAGAGGGACGGCCCCTGGAGGGTGGGGAGGCAGAGGGACGGCCCCTGGAGGGTGGGGAAGGGCAGAGGGACGGCCCCTGGAGGGTGGGAAGGGCAGAGGGACGGCCCCTGGAGGGTGGGGAAGGCAGAGGGACGGCCCCTGGAGGGTGGGAAGGGCAGAGGGACGGCCCCTGGAGGGTGGGGAAGGCAGAGGGACGGCCCCTGGAGGGTGGGGAAGGCTGAGGGACGGCCCCTGGAGGGTGGGGGCTGTAATGGAACAATTAATTAGGGCCGAAGGTCGGTAATCAGGGCAAAGTTTACATCGCCGCCTCGCCCTGAAAGCCATTAACTATGATTGTGTCAAGTTGCCGGGTGGGTGGGGGGGAGGGGGGAAGTGGGCGGGGATGGAAGGATAAGGGTGGGGGAGGATGGACTAGTGGGCGGGGAAGGAAGGAGGGAGAGGGTGGGGAGGAATATAAGAGGTCGTAGCCCCCTACTTATTCCTGTGTCAGAATTCATCAAGTATTTCCGTATCCCCTTGCGAAACCTCTACATCGTTCAACAATGGTGGAGGCTTTGTTTATATTCAGTAGTTTACGAGCTTGGAAACGCCTCACGGCTCGAGGTTAGTATTCTTATAAACATCCATATTTATATATATATATATATATAATATATATATATATATATATATATATATATATATATATATATATATATATATATATATATATATATATATATATATATAATAGAAAACTCCTCACCCCTGAAGGATTCGAACCTATACAGCTAGAGGTTCCAAGCAGCTTGGCGTGCAGTACTTTCACCACTAGGCCACAACGACTGTTAAAAAGAATTGAGAGTCGTCTGACTATTAACCCAATTCCCGACAGCACTCTGTGATCTTTTTGGGCACAGATATTTCATCACATCACCTCTCATGCTGGGGGCCACGTGAGTAACATATATGCGAGCAAAATGGCTTATAACTTGAGGATACAACCTGCCTATCTGTTGTTGGTTCCGGGGATCAACGTCTCCGCGGCCCGGTCTCTAATCAGGCCACCTGGTTAGTGGTATCGTGGGTAACTAAGCTAAACTTGCTCTCTATTTGTTAGGATTTTATGCTAGATTGTTGTTGTTTAAGATTCAGCTACTGGGAACTAAAAGTTGCAAGTAGCACGGGCTATGGTGAGCCCGTGATGGACTTGCCTGGCACAGGAGCGGGGCTGAAACTGTATGCTAGATGTTTCCGTGTGTCTAAAACGTTTGTGCTATCTCTCTCTTCCCCCTCACCCCTTGCAATCCATTCCCTCTCTCACCCCCCCCCCTCTTTCACACCCCCTCTCTCACCCCCCCCTCTCTCACCCCCCCTCTCTCACCCCCCTCTCTCCCCCCCCCCTCTCTCACCCCCCCTCTCTGACCCCCCTCTCTCACCCCCCCCTCTCTGACCCCCCCTCTCTGACCCCCCCTCTCTGACCCCCCCTCTCTGACCCCCCCTCTCTCACCCCCCCTCTCTCACCCCCCCCCTCTCTCACCCCCCCCCTCTCTCACCCCCCCTCTCTCACCCCCCCCTCTCTCACCCCCCCTCTCTCACCCCCCCTCTCTCACCCCCCCTCTCTCACCCCCCCTCTCTCACCCCCCCCTCTCTCACCCCCCCCTCCTGCGACCCCCCCTCCCTCCCTCTCTCCCTCACTCCCTCCTGCGACCCCCCCTCTCCCTCCACAATGGTTTAAGGCTCCGCCAGATCCTCTAAATGAATTTCAATTTTGGACCTTTACGTTCTTCTCCCTTGTGGGCGAGGCAGAGTGAAATTTAATTATATGAGATGCCCATCTTCCCCTCCTCCCTCCTTATCGACTAGTTCCTACCTCTTCAAGGTCTAACCATCCCGACAATCGACCAGTTCCCACCTCTTCAAGGTCTGACCATCCCGACAATCGACCAGTTCCCACCTCTTCAAGGTCTGACCATCCCGACAATCGACCAGTTCCCACCTCTTCAAGGTCTGACCATCCCGACAATCGACCAGTTCCCACCTCTTCAAGGTCTGACCATCCCGACAATCGACCAGTTCCCACCTCTTCAAGGTCTGACCATCCCGACAATCGACCAGTTCCCACCTCTTCAAGGTCTGACCATCCCGACAATCGACCAGTTCCCACTTCTTCAAGGTCTGACCATCCCGACAATCGACCAGTTCCCACCTCTTCAAGGTCTGACCATCCCGACAATCGACCAGTTCCCACCTCTTCAAGGTCTGATCAACCCTACAATCGACCAGTTTCATCCTCGTCAAGTTCTGATGACCCGAAGGGGTCTGATAGAGCTTCGACTGGGTTTGATAGAGCTGTCAGTAGATTCAGTAGAGCTACCAGCAGACAATAGATGAATCATATTTCCCTTCTCTCTAATGTCTCTATCCCTGTAGCAGTCCTGGTTGGTACTTCCAGTCGACCAGACCCGTTTCCCCTGCTGTACTGGCATGTCCTTCTGTCGAGAAGACCTGTCGACCAGACTTTACTGACTTCCCTTTCAGTCGACCAGACCTGTTTCCCCTGCTGTACTAGCATGTCCTTCTGTCGAGAAGACCTGTCGACCAGACTTTACTGACTTCCCTTTCAGTCGACCAGACCTGTTTCCCCTGCTGTACTAACATGTCCTTATGTCGAGAAGACCTGTCGACCAGACTTTACTGACTTCCCTTTCAGTCGACCAGACCATCGTCCCTTCCGTTCCCGGTAACTTGTAATAAACTGTTTATATTTCTAATGTTATCGACAGTCGACTAAATATTTATATCCTTTAACGGCAGCCTTTCACTCGACAAGGTGAAAGGTCTTCGTGCCTTTTGTCTTCTGAAACGACGTGTATCCTGGAGGTTTGTCGACCATATCGACCGTGTCCACATGTTTCCGACCCTATTTAAAGCGTCCTTGCTTTAGGTAGATAGGCAGTCGGCCAGATCCGTACGCCTGAAGATAGGCAGTCGACCAGTCCCATATACCTGAAGAGGTCTGGTCCAGGAGGCCTGGTCGACGACCGGGCTGCGGGGACGCTAAGCTCCGGAAGCACCTCAAGGTAACCTCAAGGAAGTTAGGTGCTCTACCAATCGACCAGATCCGTACTTTCTGAAGATGGGGCCCTTGAAAAGTCTAGCATATTCATACCCCTGAAGGAAGGCACTCGACCATAAGCGACCAGATCCATACTTCTGGAGATTGGCACTCGACCAGTCGACCATACTCTTGTCACAAGTGACGTAACTTGTCATTGTTGACGGGTAGGCGGTAATTAGTATGGTCTCCGACCGCGGCAATTAAAATCCATTTCCTCGCCACTTCAAGATGGCTGAAATTAGTGTCTTAGAGAAAGTTGAGAAACAAAAATGGTGATTGGGAGAGGCTGAGGAGAGAGGAAGATAGAGAGATATGAGGAAAGAGGGAGGAAAGGAGAAAGGGTGTGTGAACAGAAGAAAGGAGAAGCAAAGGAAGGGGGGTAGGCAAGGGAAGAGGGAATAGAGCAATAAGACAGGATGAGGAGGACATAGATGGAAATAACTATAAAGAGGAGGATAGAGAGGAGGAGGAGAGTAAAGCAGGGAGGTAAGGAACAAAAGACACCACAACAAATAGAGATCTATATGAACAGTGAAGAAATAAAAGATAGACAAGACCTTTCAATTATATTTTTATTTTATTATTTTATTCTGCGATTCCATGAAAGTTTAGATGGAAAACAGCAGACGAGTAGGAGGAGAGGGATAACAAAAAAATTACAGCATAACATGTATGTAAAAAATTTAATAAATATATGTAAATAAACTGCCTTTAGCTCTTGGTCTCCGGCTCTGTTTCACACACTCTTGGTAGCAGTGTGTAGGCCGCGTGGACACGTTGGCATGACAACACATGGAGGTTTGACACTACACTACACTATACACTACACTACACTACACTACACTACACTATACACTACACTACAGAGGTGTAATACTCTGGATCAGACAGTGGGAAGGTGGGTATTGGGGGTAGAGGTGAGTATTTTGATCGTGGAAATAGTGTTCATGTCATGAATACTCATTAAAGGCTATTACAGGCAAAGTATTTTTAGTTCGATTTATTGAAAATGTTGAGGAAATAAGTGCGTGTTTGATATTACAGTAAGAAAAAAAAGTAATACTCATAATTAGATTCTAGTTAATGATATAGGAAGATTCGTCGTGGGGGTCTCATTTGGCACTGTCAAGCGACACTCGTTTCATTGATGACAACCCTGGCCTGCCCATGTTGGGCACGTACCCAATAGCAATAACTGGTAAAAATTGAGTGAGGCTAGCCGAAAACATCTAAAGCTCAATCTCCGACAGGTGCTTGCACTAATAAATATAGCCAAAGCACTCCATATCAAACAATTCCAACCCAATATAATGAGACAGCTTACACCCAGGTACAAGCTATCATCTTTAAGACCAAAGCTGATTATCCAACACACTGTTCCAACCCTTCATCAGGTCATGAGTCGTGATGAATTTCAGAAGGGCAATTTGCCCATTCAACACCCTACTTCACCTCATCCTTCTTGGTTATTTATTCGACTGATCAAGCTAACTAGTGTAGAACAGCCCCGCTCCTGTGCCAGGTAAGTCTACTACGGGCTCACCATAGCCCGTGCTACTTGGAAATTTTTGTTCCAAGTAGCGAATCTCAAACAACAACAACAAGCTAACTTGTATTTCGGGCTCACTATAGCCCGTGCTACCTGGACATTTCGTTCTGAGTTCCTTAATCTAAAGCAAAAACAATAGCTAACTTGTAAAAAAAAAAAAAATTGAAGTGTGTAACTTTACACACTTGTGTGTAAAGTTACAGCCCCGTTCCTGTGCCAGGTAAGTCCACTACGGGCTCACCATAGCCCGTGCTACTTGCCCCGCTCCTGTGCCAGGTAAGTCCACTACGGGCTCACCATAGCCCGTGCTACTTGCCCCGCTCCTGTGCCAGGTAAGTCCACTACGGGCTCACCATAGCCCGTGCTACTTGCAACTTTTTGTTCCGAGTAGCAGAACCTAAAAACAACAAACTTGTATACACTTTACCGTAACCTTTGAAAATGTTGACAGAGTCAGCGAAACGCACACCATAGAATGAGGTCATATACAACGGCAAAATAAACCATTTCATTTCTTCAGCTCCCTTCCCTAGTGAAGAACATCATAAACACACAAATATATATTCAAACTTTCATAGATATATCTACTGACATTCCATTTATTTCTTACAGGTAAGGTTCCTGGCAGTAAGAGGAAGCAAGATCGACTGCTGTAGCGGCCACGCAAGTACCCGCCGTACACAGGTATCCAAGTCCTTGTTGACGATATCGTGTCGTCCAGCAGCTGTTGTTTAAGCTGGATCAGAATTCACACGGCCGTGTCTGTTGACCGGGTGGAACACGCAGCCACTCACACAAAAACAGAACAAACAACGGCAGCGTTTGGGATTCCAGTGACCAATTAGCTGGCTCCCAGGCGGTGCCAATTAGCTAGTGACTCGGGGTATAATTCTCTGTATCTCCAGTCAAAAGCTTTAATTAAACGGAAAAAAACATCTGATTTTAATAGCTTGACTGAGAAGGGAAGTAAGTATATAATTGTTTTTAATCATCATCATCAATTAAAAATTGGGTGTCTATATTTTGTCTTTAGTTTTACACTTGACTAAAGCGACGAGGGTGTTTGAAGATCTGTAATTGGGGGCTCTGAAGGATTGAGTCTCGTGGCGGATGTAATTGGGGCAATGTTTACATCCTTGGCGGATGTGATCGGGAAGCCTGGTAGTAATTACATCCATCTGGATTTACTCTTAGTAACTTTATCATACACGGCGATTGGGGGAAGGGGGGGGGGTTAGTGTTGACATTCAAGGATGATGAGTTGCTCCTGATTGTGCTAAAGTTGCTCCTGATTGTGCTAAAGTTGCTCCTGATTGTGCTAAAGTTGCTCCTGATTGTGCTAAAGTTGCTCCTGATTGTGCTAAAGTTGCTCCTGATTGTGCTAAAGTTGCACCTGATTGTGCTAGTTGCACCTGATTGTGCTAAAGTTGCTCCTGATTGTGCTAAAGTTATCCTTGATTGTGCTAAAGTTGCTCCTGATTGTGCTAACACTCGACGTATTGATGATTGTAAATGTTATTACATTCATTTCGGATGCGAACAGAGATCCAGGTATTGCTTGACACCCGATTTGTAAGCAAGATTGTGACACTTGTGGTGTTTACACCTGCTGGTGGATGTGATCAGAGGTCCAGTACATTGTTTATACCAGGATTGTCTGCTATCGGAGCGGCAGGTGTAGTTACCCGTTGTAAGATGATCCTGTGTTGACATGTGTCGCAGATATGATCTTGCTGTTGGCACACGAAGGGGGTGAATTTGGAACTTTGGAGAGTGTTTGCACATTTGGCAGGTGTGTGTGTTTGTATTTCGCAGCATTGTTTGTACGTGTAGTGGATGTACACGGGGCTCCGGAAGGTGTTTATAACGTTATATGCGATCGTTGTTCATGGTATAGATTTTAGTGCGTGGTGGATGTGATCGTAGTTCCAGATGCTGTTTACGCTGGCGACGGATGCGATCCTGGCTCGCAGACGTGCTATTACACCCGGCGGATGCGATCGTGGCTCGCAGACGTGCTTTTACACCCGGCGGATGCGATCGTGGCTCGCAGACGTCCTTATATACCCGGCGGATGTTATCGTGGCTCGCAGACGTGCCTTTACACCCGGCGGATGCGATCGTGATTCGTGGAATCGTATTAAATCAGCGACGGATGAGAGAAGCTGCAGCCTCCGGTCCTGGGAAAGAGAGACGTCGTGTCTGTGATTGTTTTTCCTTGCCAGTATCGCCTAATGAATCCACACACCTCAGTTTCCAATGAATAAATTTGCTTCTCTGATAAGAACGGTTTTCCCGCCAGTCACCGAACGGAGAAATGGAACACTCGTCCGAAGCCAATACTTGTGTTTTTATCTATTTTCTCTATCTCTCATTTGGAGGGAGCGGTTGTGAACGTGGTGAGGGGTGGGGGGGGGGAGGGTGGAAAGGGAGGGGGGGTTTGCTGGGCTAGTTGTGCTTGCGGGGGTTGAGCTTCGGTTCTTTGGTCCCGCCTCTCAATTGTCAATCAACTGGTGGACAGGTTGGGTGATGCTACGTGTCCTTCCTGTATCACATCTCTTTTGTTGCCCTTTATTTCACCATCAGAATTAATGGTTATAGGCATAGTCGTCCATATTAAGACAGTCGTCAGCCATGCTGAGACAGTCGTCAGCCATGCTGAGACAGTCGTCAGCCATGCTGAGACAGTCGTCAGCCATGCTGAGACAGTCGTCAGCCATGCTGAGACAGTCGTCAGCCATGCTGAGACAGTCGTCAGCCATGCTGAGACAGTCGTCAGCCATGCTGAGACAGTCGTCAGCCATGCTGAGACAGTCGTCAGCCATGCTGAGACAGTCGTCAGCCATGCTGAGACAGTCGTCAGCCATGCTGAGACAGTCGTCAGCCACTCTAAGACAGTAGCCAAGCTCTCGGAAGTCAAGTCTGGCCCAGGACATCAAGTTCCTCACACGCATATACACAGCAAATCCTTCTCCTGGTCCGTATTCTCCCTCTCTTCTCTCCCTCTCTTCTCTCCCTCTCTTCTCTCCCTCTCTTCTCTCCCTCTCTTCTCTCCCTCTCTTCTCTCCCTCTCTTCTCTCCCTCTCTCCTCTCCCTCTCTTCTCTCCCTCACTCCCCTCCCCCCCTCCTCCGCCGAGTGCTTCTGCGGCCAGGGTGATGAATGCTCCAATGGCGGCCTGTTCCAGCCGTCATTTTCAGCCGCGCTATTAATTATTACAAGTCGCTAAAGATCGGTGATGTCGTGGGGGGTTGTAGTTGGGGGAGGAGGTTGTGGTTGTTCTGTTGTCCTTGTGTGGTGGTTGCAATGTAGTTGCGGTTATAGATACAATTACTTTAAGAGTAGTTGGTATCTTTGAGCCAGCTGTTTTTATAGATATTGGTACAAAATGCCCATTTAGTCCTCCTCAAAATCCATTCACGAAAGGGAAAAGAAGTTTGCAAGTGTAATGTTGTGATAAGTGAATGGGGGGGGGGGGTAGACGGGTGTTCAGGGAGATGTTTATCATCAGTAAACACGAGGGCTACTGACAGGAGAGCTGGGGGGGGGAGGGGGGAGGGCTCTCCCCCACTCTCTCCCTCTTCCCCCACTCTCCTCTCCCTCTTTATACGCTCTTCCTCCCCCACACACTCCCACACACGCTTACCCTCCTCAACCCTGTTTCTGCTACACTCTCTCTACCTCCTTCACTCTCACTCTTCCCTATTCTCCTTCACTCTCACTGTCTCCTCTCCATCTCTTCCTCCTTTCATTACCTATTCCTTGTGGCAAGTGTTTGGAAGGGTGAACACCGTCTTTAAAAGCTTCACTTACCCACCATAGCGAGGAGAAGATGCACACATTTGTCTTAAAAAATTCTTATAAAATAGTAAATATTTCAGTTATTATATATATATATATATATATATATATATATATATATATATATATATATATATATATATATATATATATATATATATATATATATATAATTTCTTTCTGTTGACAGACATTTGTAAAATTTAATATCAACTTTGTCACTTAACTTTTATTTAATACAGCCTTCGGGCATGTCAGAAAATTTCATTCAAAACACTATTTCCGTCATTCCCAGCGCTGAAGGTTCTTTCACCGGCTCGCTCAAAGGTCTCCAGATCTAATTTAAATCGTCAAAAATACTTTCAGAAGATCGAATACTTCTTTTTCAATCATCCGACCGACTCGCGAGTATTTGAATATTCTCTCTTGGAGACGTACATCTTATGAATGCCCCTTTCCAGTATCTCCACCCGCTGTTAGGGGCCTTTTCAGCCGTTCCACGCGATGTTGGGTGCCTTTTTAGCTGTTGCACGCGATGTTGGGGGCCTTTTTAGCCGTTCCACGCGATGTTGGGGGCCTTTTCAGCCGTTCCACGCGATGTTGGGTGCCTTTTTAGCCGTTGCACGCGATGTTGGGGGCCTTTTCAGCCGTTCCACGCGATGTTGGGGGGCCTTTTTAGCCGTTCCACGCGATATTGGGGGGCCTTTTCAGCCGTTCCACGCGATATTGGGGGGCCTTTTCAGCCGTTCCACGCGATGTTGGGGGCCTTTTTAGCCGTTGGACGCGATGTTGGGGGCCTTTTTAGCCGTTGCACGCGATGTTGGGGGCTTTTTTAGCCGTTGCACGCGATGTTGGGGGGCCTTTTTAGCCGTTGCACGCGATGTTGGGGGCTTTTTTAGCCGTTGCACGCGATGTTGGGGGGCCTTTTTAACTGTTGCACGCGATGTTGGGGGCCTTTTTAACTGTTGCACGCGATGTTGGGGGCCTTTTTAACTGTTGCACGCGATGTTGGGGGCCTTTTTAGCCGTTGCACGCGATGTTGGGGGCCTTTTTAGCCGTTGCACGCGATGTTGGGGGCCTTTTTAGCCGTTGCACGCGATGTTGGGGGCCTTTTTAGCCGTTGCACGCGATGTTGGGGGCCTTTTTAGCCGTTGCACGCGATGTTGGGGGCCTTTTCAGCCGTTCCACGCGATGTTGGGGGTCTTTTCGGTCGGTTGAAATATCCTTCAAGGCTCCTAGGAAGATATCCTTCAAGGTCTCCTCCTAGGAACACCTAGAATCTCTGGACCTTGATACAGTGATCTCTGGACGCTGCTCCGAGCACTCTTGGGAGCCCGTGATTGTGGTTGTCAATGATTGTGGTAGTGCGTGATTGTGGTTACTCAGGAGTAATAATAAGTGATTGGTAGTTGGTAGGCAGGGGTGATTGTGATAGTCAGGGTGATTGTGGAAGCGATTGTAATGGCCAAGGGTGATTGTGGTAGCCACGGGTGATTGTGGTAGCCAGGGGTGATTGTGGTAGAGTGATTGCACCTACAAATTTAACCATTAAATCTCTTGTAATTATAAATCTCATTAAATGTCCCCATATAATGGCTTTATTTAATCTACGCTTGCCATTTCACCTGACCATTTGGGAGGGTAAAAAAATTCAGTGAATCCTTGAAAGGTTTTTACCTCTCTCTCTGTTTAGTTTTGGAAGGTTTTTAATATTTGTTGGTAAACAAATATTTGTTTACCTATATTTTGTAAACCTGTTTTGTAAATGTATTTTTATTTTGCAAATTTTGTATTTACAAAATTTATTGTAAATCTGGGGGAATGTTCATCCAATCTTGAGGTTATCTTGAGATGATTTCGGGGCTTTTTAGTGTCCCCGCGGCCCGGTCCTCGACCAGGCCTCCACCCTCAGGAAGCAGCCCGTGACAGCTGACTAACACCCAGGTACCTATTTTACTGCTAGGTAACAGAGGCATCAATTAGGCTGGACGGTAGAGCGACGGACTCGCTTCATGCAGGTCGGCGTTCAATCCCCGACCGTCCACAAGTGGTTGGGCACCATTCCTTTCCCCCGTCCCATCCCAAAATCCTTATCCTGACCCCTTGCCTGTAGCATAGGTTAGTACATCAAAACATGTTTAATATATGTGTAATTAGTGGTCCTGGCTACTACACGTGTTCACTACTGTACAGTCAGGTGTTTGTTAAACATCTGCCTGTAAGTGCTCTCTCTCCCATGTTCTCTCCCATCATTCCCTTCCTCTGGTCTCTCGTTCCCTCCCTCCAAAGACTTTCCTATATTTTTCCCGTCTTCCCCCCTCCCACGGTGCTGTGGGAGGGGGTCCCACGGTGCTGTGGGAGGGGGTCCCACGGTGCTGTGGGAGGGGGTGGGAGCCAGACTGAGAGTGTCTCGCTTCTTTAGTCTCAGTCTTCTATATTTCCGCCCTTATCAACGGGTATATATAACTTGCCGCCCTGACGCTCTTCTTGCTCCTACGCCTCCCACACGCACGCACCTCTCACACGCACCTCTCACACGCACCTCTCACACGCACGCACACGCCTCACACGCACGCACACGCCTCACACGCACGCACACGCCTCACACGCACGCACACGCCTCACACGCACGCACACGCCTCACACGCACGCACACGCCTCACACGCACGCACACGCCTCACACGCACGCACACGCCTCACACGCACGCACACGCCTCACACGCACGCACACGCCTCACACGCACGCACACGCCTCACACGCACGCACACGCCTCACACGCCTCACACGCCTCACACGCCTCGCACACGCCTCGCACACGCCTCGCACACGCCCCACCACGGGCGTGACAGTTGATGTGGGTGTGAGGGAGGGAGGGAGGCTGGCCGCCGGGATCGATTAGACAAGATTGGTATGAGAGAAATAATGAGATGACCCCCCCCCCCCTACCCACGAGGATCGCCGCGAGGGCGGAGGTGATTGGGCAT